GTTCCGCTCCTGAGCTCCTGCAGAAAAAGCACGAGCTGGAGCCGTGCCCAAATACACGGAACGTGCGGTGACACGTTTTTGGCTTTCTGTCACCGCACTCGCGCGCAGGGGGCGCGGGCTGGTTAAGGCACCGCGTTCTGCAGCACCCGCCCGGCCCGAGGCATCGCCCCGCCCGAGCCGAGGCTGCCACGGACCGACACTCGGACCCCGGAAACGCGGACGAGCTCGTAACCGGCTCAGATCACGACCTGACGCGGCCACGCCTGACGTCCCACGTAACGCACCCGCCTCGAGCCCCGGGCACTGCTCTCGGCACCACCGACCTGAGCTGCAGGGAGGCAGCAGGGAGGAAAAACGCCCCGGTGCGACCCGCAGCGCTCGATGGGACGTGTCCCTTCAGGAAAGTCCCCAAATTGTCAATACTCTTTGAGCCACGTTTGGGTGAACTGTGCTGCTGGACATAGCACAGCCTGCCTGCAAACCGAGTTTAACAAGTTTAGAATTGGACGTGTTTTGCTGAGAAATATTAAATACTAATGACAACAGTTGCAGAAAACACAGTGCATGCCAGAAATGAATGACAATACTCCAAATGTTAAAAAAAAAATTATATTTTAATTACAGTACAAAAAAGTTTCTTTGTATAATTGTAATGTAATCTGGATCAAACAGCAAGGAAATAACAAAAATATAAAAACTGCTAAGTCTTGCCAAAGTTTTCCCTCTAGTACGAAATACCACAAGATGCAGATTATACAAAGTGTACAAATTTTAAATAAAAATACAATACACCAGGGTTGTGTGTTTTTAAAACTCTTCAAGAGTTTTCCATTATACAGATGACAAAGCTAAAGCTGATCCCCTTCTGATCCTCAGAGAGCAGATCTACCCCTTCACGGCGCTCTCAATTGTAAAGGGCTGGAAAGAGCCAGTGATTCTGTGCCACTCCCAACAGCAGCTGCTTCAGTACAGGCCAGGATCCGAAGCGGGATCAGACTGCCTCCCTCCTGGGTCCTTCCCAATTCCAGGCTCATTGCCATTAGTCATATATTGTTAAAACATGTATGTTCTGGTCTGGGGCTTGGGTTGAGAACTTGTATGGTGGCCTGAAAACCTTCTGCCTCCTCCACTGACTGAGAAAACCTAATACTGCACTGAGAAAAGCTCCAAAAGAGACAGACTACCTTGTGTAGGCACAGCTGAGGAATACATGGTAAAGAGGAACGGGGAAAAAAACCCTCTTGCACCCCTCTGAGGATTTAATTTAAATATTATTTGGGACTCAGCCACAATGAGAGAGAGCTCACTTTCAACTGCCCTAAACAGAAGCTCTACTTCACATTGTAAGTAAAAAAGTGCTCTTCTGTCATTTTAAAACGTTAATATTGTAAGGCTGGAAAGGTTAGAGTCAAATTATATTTCGTTTTTATTACGTACCTTCACAAGATATCCTGTTTCTACAAACACTTAAAATCTTCCTGGTGTTTCCTCATACAATGCCAATGCTTACTACTACACATATAGCTGGTTCCTGCAGGAAGTGGGGTGAGGCAAACTTGATTCATGTTTTCCACACAATGTTGGTAGAGGGAGGGATTTTTGCTTTTAAATTATGTGTATATACACACACACGGAAATATACAGGATAAATTAAAATCTCTTACAGATATTGGTAAAAGTTAAATACATGAGATATGAACACCACATACACATACATACAGACACACAAAAGCCTATATGAGTATCAAGTGCTCTCTTGCGGCTCCTCTTCTAGAGGAGCAGAAAACCAAACACCAAGTATGTGGCTGGAAGGTAGAGGAATCGGTCCAATCAACCCATATGTGCCTTACTCAGCCGTAACTGCTTCAAACTGGTCATTAGTCACTGCCTCACAGCAGCACCATGGCTCTTTCAATGCTGCTGGTGAAAGGGATGGGGGATCAGCGGTCTCAGAAACCAAAGTTATCTGTTCACAAAACAGGTGCAAGACAGGCAGAAGCAATCCAAATTTTTCCCATTTGCTTCCACACTCTCCTCCATCAAAGCAGGCTGACTATACCCTGGAAAAATCAGCAGATCAGAACTTCATTCTCTCAAGCCAATGCAGCTGGTTGATACATCATGCTAATGACGATTTGGGTGCAAGTCCACAAGAAAAGATTAAATTTGTTGTCATCTTCCACTTTACTTCAAATGCCAGCTGATGCTGACAACTTTCAGTTATTACTGGCTGAAGAGGAGGGGTTGGAAGAAGTGACTTAAGAGGCAAAGACCTCTCTATCTCTGATCAGCTATCCAGCTTTCCCTTCAAGCAGTAGACTTTAAACTGAAAACCAGTTAGAAATATGGCTGGTGAAGAGTTCAGTTCTATTCCTTGGTCCAAAATACACTATCATCTCTACCTGACCGTAGAATATCAGATTGCTTTAGTTTGGAAGGCATTATCAGGAGGTCATCTGGTCCATCCCCCTGCTTAAAGAAAGTCCAACTACAGCAGGCTGCTCAGTTTCTGAACATCATCAAGGATGAAGAGTGGACAACCTCTTTAGGCCACCCGTTTCAATGACTCCTATCATGGTGACGTTTCTTTCTTTGTATCGAGAATTCCATTCTCTGGCTGCTTCCCTCACTAAAGAATCTGAATTTAAGGCGAGTGTCTCAAAAGCTTTCTGAATTCTTCATACAAAATACTTTCAGATTGGAGGGCGTTTCACTCACCAAAACAAAAGGGTTTTCTCAGCTTAACTTCACAACTTCTCATAAAATAGAAGTCATATAGTTACAATCCTATGCATATACTATACAGATAAAAAATTTTAAAACCCTACACACGGAGCCCTTTGGGAGTGCCGGCGTAGTGCATATGTACGCAAGTCAGTTACGCAGAGGTTGAGTACATCCCAGGATCCTTTGCCGTCAAAGTCCAGGCATGATGTAGGCGATGTTGTCTAGTGTGTTTGACTGGGAAAAGAAATTCAGTATTTTTTTAGTGTCAGGTAATGACTCCAAATCCTTGAAAAACAACACAGACGAGGGTACTAAGCATGTTCACTTGTCTTACAAGTTGTCATACCATGAGAACCAAATCTGCCTAGTCATCACCACCACTGCTAGGCTTATTTTCACATTTTCAGAAACGTAAGTTAACTAAACATAAAGGCAGCCTCAGTATTTGTAAGCATCTGAAAACAATGAAAATGTTTGAGGCTTTCCTTAAGTGACCTCCTCCTTAAAAAGTCCATACTCTATCTCCGAATTTGAAACAAGCCACATCAACCACATGAAAGACTAGTGATGAAAGACTTGACCAAAATGATCACAGTTGTAGCATATAACAAAAAAAAATTACTTGACTTTACACTCACAAGTCCTTTACGCAATTCAAACACACTCACTAACAGTGTGTCAGACAATGTGCCTTCCACTTTTCCTTGCAAAATGTAACGGAATTCTGAGAGTAAGAGTCCTTCTCGTGCACATCAGAAAACAAGACCCAGGAGAATATTATCTGTATGTTATTCAGACGCAATATTTCAGTAAGCTCAAGCCTGTGGCTAGACGGCCTTAGAAATACCACCTTTTATTTGCTGAAGACAGAGGAGCTGGATGCGATTCTAGAATTTAACAATGCCACCTGCTGACTGAAAAGATAAATTGCATTCTACGTGCAACACGACCACTGACCATTTTATCCACGTCCTGAAACACCACTGCTGTTATGTATCTGATGGTAAAAATCAGAATAATTTATTTATTATTAAGTCTGAATACCAGTCTTCAGAAGTGAAGGGTAAGTGCCTAAATCCACCTGAAGCTCAACTGCTCTTTGTAACAATAAGTTGATAAGTTTCCAACGTACGCACCATGAGTCATGTGGTGTCATTGCTCTGAAGGCACTTGGCAAGCCAGAAGGAAAAAAAGCACAGGATGTTTTTCGATGGCTTAGGATGGGAACAGCCTGCTGACTCAGCTTGTGTGTAGACAGCCAGTTTGTGGGAGCTCACAGCCTAAGCTGTCAACTTTGCTGTTGTCAATAGTCCCTCCTCAGAATCAATCAATGTTTGGGCTGCTCTATTAAAACATGCCAATTCATATCCCATTTTTGTTGTTCTCTTTGCCAGATTTGTCTTTAATCTCTTAACTTTTGCAGACTATATATTTATTTTTCATTTCAGCTCTACTCTTTCTCTGCTTTATTCATGTCACCTGTTGGAGGTATGACTCCTGATTCCTTTTATGCTGCTGCCATCTTAATTTATGTCCACATCATGCTATGTAGATGCCACAAACTGTTGCTAAATCAGGGCTCAATGGAAAGCATAGTTTAAAGTGGAAAAGAACCTGTAGTTATGCAGTTCCTTAAAATAGAGACTGTTCTTTTCTTGGAGAAGGTTACAGCCACATGTAGAAGGCCCTACTCAATCACACTAGGAATCTTGAGGTCACAAGTTATTTTTTATGCTATTAAAGGAAAAACATATTGTGTGATACAGAGCAGCTAGAAGGTGCTTTTTATTTTCTAACAGAAAATTAGAAATTTCAAAAATACTGGTATGTGCACAGGTATTTTTATTTGACTCAGATGGATCGATTCAGTCACTAAAACAGGACCTACACACTACAGTCAGTGGTACAAATATCAAGTCAGTTACCACTGTAAAAAAATGTTGCAAAATACTATAAAACAGTAACATTTCAAAGAATTTCAAGAAATACTGCTCTATAAAAGTGTATGACCGAAACAATTTTCGTATTGCACTGGAATTATCATCACATCATAAGACTGATTAATCAAAAACCTCTAGCTGGACTCTACTGAAATTAACAGTGCTGGAATGAGAATAACCACAAGGAACTCACCAAAACGTGCTTAGGGCAGCCATTCAACTCAGGTAGTTGCGTGGTCAGACATGCTAATGGGCCCAAAGCACAGACAATTGAATCTAGAAGGACTGACAAACTTCCTGAAACAGCCACCATTCCCTGGAAGTAAGGAATGAAAAAAAAGGATAGGAATGAGTACTGGGAATTATGGTTTGTTCACAACTGTATTGATTCTCACACAGATACAGTATCTTCATTCCTGAGCTCCTCTAGTCCACTTTCATTATTTACACAGTAACAAAACTATGCCACGCACTTCACAGACTGCTGGCTCAAAAATTTTAAGAATCCAGTAGGCAATATACTGATGAAGGAAAAAAGCAGGAACACCAGAAAACGTCAGAAAGTTTTCAGTTGCATAAAACATTTAATTCCACAATTTTTGTGGTAATTTCTTTACCATTTCATACCATCTATTTTGTTAACTACATGAGTCCTAAACACAATAGTTGTTTTATTACTGAAGTCCAAATAAATGTGCAGTCTGTAACAAATGTTTTAGTTATTGACACACTTTCAGGAAAGGGAATTTGTTTGTGGGCTCTTCTGTAAAGGGGGAGATTTTACTGTGATAGTTCCTCTGAAGAACGACCTCAATCGGTCATACCAAAGCCAAAATGCAAACACATTTATTTTGCTGTTGGTAAAACAAGCAAGCATACTGGGATGAGCTGATCCTAAGAGCCATAAAATTGAATGATATTATTTGAGCCAAATATGTGTTCTCCTTAGAGGCTGAGCTAAGTTCTGAAAGTAAGTGTATATGTGCACATGCCTGCCTAGAATCACTATCATCTAACAGTAGGAAACCAATAAAATATGACATCTACATTACCAGGTAACCTGAAACTATAGTAGCCTCTATCTGAAGCACTGGCAATATGATACTGACAGAAAACAACAGGACATGCAAAACCATCTTGGTAAAGGCCTTCTCTGATGGTTTTCTAAGAAGGCTTGAGACAGTAACAGAAACCAGATCAGAAAGTGGCAAAGACAGCAAGGAAGTACGAGATCCAAGGTGAACATATAGTAAGAAAAGACTGAGGATTTTTTTGAACTAAGAATTGCCTTCAAGGACCTAGAGCTGCAAAGGACCTGTCTTTCTTTGATGCCTACTGTTTACTGAGAAACAAGGCTTTTTATTTCACTGAAAACAAACAGCAATGCATCAAAGAGACACAACCCAATCTCTAATTTCTCTTCCTAACAGAAAAGCATTGGCTAAACTTCTAAGTAAAATAACAACATCCTCCAATCCTGCGTGTAGATGATAGGACATCACTGTGACATTCCTGGTTAGAGACTCACCTCTGTTTCCTGCAGTCTGTGTCCAATGAGGCTCAGAGATTCACCCAGCAACTGTAAGTGTGCAGCTACATCAATAGGATCTGTGTCAGGGACTTTGGCTGGTGAGGAAGACACCACCACGGTGCTCGTGGGGGATTTCTTATGAGGGGAAACCACTCCTGTTGGAGAAGCTGGAAACATGCTAATTAAAATCCCATATTCTCTTCTTTCATTCTTTTACTTACAAGCCTATTTACTTCGTAAAGTTCAAATCTCAAAGGCATGAGATGCTTAAATAGTTCTGTGGACCTGGTCCTCCAGCCTTTGGAGTCAAAACCTTCTTTTTATGTATGCAAAGCATCTACCTCAGCTGAATGCAATTTGGGAGATTTGGTTTGGGATATTTGGTAAACAGAGATACCAAGCCAAGAACAACTCTTTTTCCTCTTGCAGCAAGCAAATCTGACTAGAACTTCCCTGCTGCCTCTTCTTGGTTTACATTTCAATCTCTCGGCTGCTAAAAACAGTATCATTCTACAAATTAGACAAGGAAATATTTTTTTTAAAAGCTGACATCATTCTCACTCTCATAGAAACATTGTTTTTGAGTAATACGATGAGTTCAATGTCAAGACTTGTGAGAAAGCAGGTACGAACGTGAAGCAGGAAAGGACCCTTGTTTGTATTCCACAGGCAACACTATCTTCCCTGCCCAAGAAAGAAGACCAGAGCAAATAGAGCGCAACAATTACCTTTTATTTTTGGTGCAACATCTGAAGATGATGCCTTTCTCTTCACAGTGGTGGCCTCTGCTTTATTCTGCTTGTGTTGGAGATACTGAGCTTTCTGTTTCCAGATCTGCAGTTACCAGGGTATGAAAAGAAAGATTAATAACATTAGGTAATTCTGTTACCTGATGCCAGGACCTGGAGGCAGAATGATGTTATGTAGCTAGCAAGTGAAGCAATACCATGAGAAGAAAATGGATGCTTTTATGATCGCAAGGGCAAGGTTTTCATACTTTCCATCTTTACATACTTTGGGGACATAGGTAGCATTTTTCAAGGTATGGTGGCAATGCTGCCAGCATGTTCTGACCTAAGCATCTAGTTTACAGAATTACTAAAACATCTCTCACACACTCACCAGTTTATCCTTCTCAGGTAGCTGCTTCCACACCTCTGCCAATTTTTTACTTAGCTCTCCAAAATCTAGCAGAAGGAAAGAAGGAAAAGGTTTAAAACAAATGAAATCATAAAATCATGGAAAGAACATAGGAAAGTTACTGGCCTATTCATACACCTTTAGGAAGCAACCCATTCCACAACCAGAACTCTTCACACTGTCCTGAAAATGATTGCCTGTGTGCATTCCCATTCTTGGTTAAAAAGAAAAAAAAACTGGTACCAGGAATTTAAGGTCACACGTGTATATACAGCAAAGTGACACAATGAAGATAACTCTTTAAGTAAAGGAAGAAAAAGCTAGTAATTTCTTTATCCAGATTCACAGCTTGGTTGAAATGCAATGAAAGCAAATAACGAAATCCACTCCTGTCTCCTTTGCCACTTATTCAAAGAAAATTGGCGGATTCTTTGCACTCTGAATATTAAGATAGGTATGAAACTGAGACAGTATATTTTGCTAATTAATCTGGCTGGTGTATAATCAAGTGAAGAAAAGGCTAGATTATTCTCTCACCTATTCCAGGGTGCTCAGACACAATAGTTGTACGATATTCCTTACAGAACACTTGATAGGCAGACATGTTTTTCTTCTTTGGCTAGTCAGAAGAAGAAAAGGAAACAAAAGATTTTTAATTATAAGGAGACCTACTCAAATTTAATAAGAATTGGCATTTATTGAAGACTTAAAGAAAAATCATAGAATCATAGAATGGCATAGGCTGGAAGGGACCTCAGAGATCATCTAATTCAACCTCCCTGTCATGGGCAGGGACGCCTCTCAACTAGACCAGGCTACTCAAGGCTCCGCCCAACCTGGCCTTGAACACCTCCAGGGAGGAGGCATCCACAACTTCTCTGGGCAATTTATTCCAAAGTCTTACCACCCTTGTACTGAAGAATTTCTTCCTAAGATCTAATCTAAATCTGTTCTCCTTCAACTTAAACCCATTTCCCCTTGTCCTATCAGTGGACACTCTTGTAAAAAGTCCCTCCCCAGCCTTCCTGTGTAGGTTCCCTTCAGGTATTGGAAGGCAGCTATTAGGTCCCCCCGAAGTCTTCTCTCTTCAAGGCTGAACAATCCCAGCTCCCGCAACCTGTCCTCGTAGCAGAGGTGCTCCAGCCCCTGGATCATCTTTGTGGCCCTCCTCTGAACACGCTCGAACAAATCTATGTCTCTCTTATGGTGGGACACCAGAACTGGACACAGTTCTGCGTGGTACTTAAGATGTGGTGCTTAGATCAGGAACCTAAAAAAGCAGTGTTTTGTATGTTCTGTCTGAATTTAGTGTTTATGAAAGCACAGGAACTAGCCAGAACCAGTCTCAGCACAAAGCTTATCTTGCAACAACTCTGTTAATGCATTTCATTCACAAGATACAACAACCTGCTATTCTAAGTCCAGGATCAAAATACAACTCTGTTAATATATTTCAGTTTTAAAACTTAAAATTAAAAATATACATCTGTCATGCTATCCACAGTACCTATCATAGATCTGTCAAAAGAATTCAGTCCTCATCATAATGTTTTGTTCCATTCCTTGCATCCTCACAAAACACTTCGAATTGGCAGTAAAATAGACAGTGTAAGTACATTGACAGCAGAGGCATAAGCAGTTGCTGAGCTATGATCAGAGAAAACTTAACAAATAGAACAGAACAATGGCTGAAGAAATTAGGGCTACGTCTGCCCATTTCCTGACACAAAGCAGCTCTTGTCTATCTGAAGATACAGAAGTTGCTTTTCCCCATTTATATACTTCCACAGCTACAGTTGTATCACCTGTAAACTCATTCATATGCTAGCTACCATTTCTCCTACTCATATTTTTATACACTAACCATAGAAAACTGAATTTAAGAGTACAGGACAAAACTGGGAACGTGGTAGTGTCTAAGAATTTCATTTGAATACAGGGGTAAGTAGGCAAATGTCTAACTTTTCAGGTTAGAGCTCGATTCCTTTTTACAGGAACTGTGAAGATGGATCACTAGTCCAAAAGTCTGCCTGGCAATAGCTAGAACCGGTTACCTTAGAAAATGATGCAGTTGTGCTTGGTACATAGCCTGGACCAAGCAAACTAAGTATAACTTTTTCAAAGAACCTCTATTGGCTAAAGATTGCCTGTGCCACAAAACCAAAACAATACATATTCCTTTTTCTACAAACAGAAATCACAGTGGCTGACACATTTTTCCAAACACGCTTCAGTGAAACCATCGATCCTGGTATCAGTTATCTTTCCGTTTCAATTTAACACGCCTTTGCAATGGAGTGCCTAATTCACCATTACCCATCACCCATTTTCTATTTTCCCTCCGATTTTTCCTTACTTTTTCTCTTTCTCTTTCCTTTTCTCTTTCCTTTTCTTTCTCTCTTTCTCTTTCTTTTTCCTTTTCTTTTTCCTTTTCCTTTTCCTTTTCCTTTTCTTTTTCTTTTTCTTTTTCTCTTTCCTTTTCTCTTTCCTTTTCCTTTTCTCTTTCCTTTTCCTTTTCTCTTTCCTTTTCTTTTTCTCTTTCCTTTTCTCTTTCCTTTTCCTTTTCTCTTTCCTTTTCCTTTTCTCTTTCCTTTTCCTTTTCCCATTTATCAGCTTTATCCTTCTCCTTGTCTTCCTTTTTCCTCCTCTTCTCACCTTGACCATCTGAGTGAAAAACAGCAGGAGGGGGTGGAGGAAGAACATAGGAGGTACCGGGAGGAGGTGGTGGTGACACTGTTACTTCTGGTACTGCCACAGGAGCATGTCCAGAACTTTTTCTGGACTTAGAGTGCTTCTTGTCTCTGTGTTTCTCCTTGTCTTTTTTTTTCTTACTTTTTTTTGACTTCTTCTTCTTCTTGATTTCCCGGTAGGAGTCATCTATCACTAGCTCTCCAGCCTCCAACTCCCCACCAGAAGAGGAACCAGATTCTGGTGGTGCCTCCATACCTGATATCTCATACTCATTCCCATGGCCCTCTGAAAAAAGAGAGGTGTCAGCACCAAAACTGTCAGAGGGTGGATGTGGGTCTGGAGGTGGTTTGTGCTTCTTCCGGGATGACTTCAGGAAGCTCTGCAGTTCATGACCCAGAAGAAATGAGCCTTGCTCGTCTCGAGCTGATTTCTTTGAAGATTTCTTTGCAGCTGCTGGTGCTGAAGAGTAGGAGAAAGAATCATCATCTGCTGTGCTACTTTTCTCTTTTGGTGAAAGGATGAGCTTCATCTTCAAGCCATCAGGTTCACGAAGTGTAAGTGTCTCTGTGTTCACATAGAGAGGTTTCATTTTTTTAGATTTGTGGAAGCTGCCATCGTCCACTGAGTGCTCCCCACTACTCCCACTCAGCTTCTTCTTGTGGTGCTCTTTTTTGCTTTCGGAATGGCCAGAGGAAGAATGAGATGATTTTTCAGAGGTCTTCTTTGAAGACTTTGAGCTTGTGGCCAAAGGTGAGGTGATAACCTTGACTAAATCCATGGTTGTATCAGCTGAGGATGGGCTAGAAACTGCTTTTTTCTTCTTCTTTGATGGTAGATCCAAAGGCGGAACACCTGAAAAAGAACAAGAGAAATGTACATCAAGATGATTCCCTTAAAGACAGCATTACACTAGTCCAAAGAAGTGAAGTGGCAATCCTGCAAGACATATGATTACAGCTAAGAGAAGCTGTGGATGCCCCATCCCTGGAGGTGTTTAAGGCCAGGTTGGATGAGGCTTTGGGCAACCTGGTGTAGTGGAAGAACTCCCTGCCCATGGCAGGGGGGCTGGAACTAGATGATCTTTAAGGTCCCTTCCAACCCTAACCATTCTATGATTCTATGATTTATAATGGATTTGCATCCTGGCTTAAACAGATCTCTGAAGCTTGTAGCCAGCTCAGCATGGCCTTACTGATACAATTCAGGAGCTGTAATGCCCGAGCTGGTCAAATAAGTTAAGGCAGGAAGACAGAGTAGGGAGTTCTTTAAGTTTTGTCAAACTCTGTATTCTATTGTGAAATAACATATTTTGATGAAAATGTATCTTATTGAAATCACATCTCAAGTGCAAGGTTTTTGTGTCATTTTTAGCCAAGGTGAGACCAATGAATTGAAAACACAAGCTTCTTAAATTCTGAAAACAGATTTTGACAAAATTTCAGCTTGGCTTTCTCTTTTCATTGGGCCAAAAATAAATGTTAAATCTGTTAAGCTTTTATGAATAGAATTGTCATTTTCTGGACAGCTTGTGAGAATGTTTCTGTACTTAAACTGAACCCCAAAGCATTTATTTTTCACCCTGACGCATTCTATTTTTATAAATCCAGAGAAAGTAATACTAGCTGCAAGTAAAATTAGAGTTTGTAATGCAGTAGGCAAAAAAGAAATGCAAATGTCAAAGGGAAGGCACGGGTTAAAAAACTACAATTTGTCAACGAAAAGAGGGGTGGAAGATCTCTACCCCTAACAACAGCAATTTGTTAAGTTAGACTGAAAATAGCATTCCCTAATCTTTTGCGGTCTGGTGCTGAGCAGCGACAGGTTTCTCATTACTTGTCCTAAGACAGGCTGATGTACTTTGCCCCCATAAAGTGCTACCCACAAAGCTTCATGACATTAACAGCACCCTTCCCTCAAAGTCATGATTTGTTAGCCCCTTCCCCTGCCTGATTACTATCTTACTTCTGTGGCAGAACTCATCGGAGGAGTGCTTTCTTTTCTTTTTGTGAGGTTCTGTCCCCGGAAAAAGGTCACTGTCCTAGAATAAGAATAAAGAAGTTGCTGACAAACAAGGGAGAAATACCATGACATTCACATGGATTATTGACACAGGAGATATCATTTACATATTAATTTGTAGGAGATATCAAAAGTTATTTGTACTACTGTAACATCAAGGAAACCTAAGTACGAACCAGGACCATTATTCTAGGTGCTAAAATAAGCAAAGGAAACACACTCTGTCGCCAAGAGCCCACAGTGTAGGTTTAATATAAGAGACAAAAAGCACAGTATGGATAGGTGGAAGAATGCAAAAAATGGTATACTAGTCAGGATTGGTTTCAGCACATCAGCCACCAAACCAGCATCAAGCTTTCTGTAGGCATTGCACCACAACAGGGCTATAAGGAAATTGAAAGACAGACCTCTATAGGGAGCTTCTCCCAAGTGAGAAGAGCAATACCCAAGAAAACTTGAAAAAGCACATTTGAAAGTGTTAAGAAATGGGCAATGAAAGCCAGCACCTGGAGATCAGCTGACGAGTTGATAAAAGGCAGACATCTACCTCTTAATGAAGCTAAGAAATAACTAAGCATGCACAGGCTGTTAAGCCTTGAAAATTAAGGCGAGCAGTTCATGCTTAATATGCTGGAGAAGATAGAAGAAGTGAAAAGAAGTGAAACGATGTACAGAGAGGTGACAAAATGATGGGCCAAAAAAATGACCTTAATATCTCATATCACCCAATTATTATATCCTTCTTGACCAATTTATGGTCTGAAAGTGAAGCTTCTCTACAGAATTCCATCTGCATGGTAGAAGATTTTAACTTTAAACTAGAACTTCTTTTCCAGGCTTAAAAAAAAAAAACAAACCAATCA